GTGTGTGTGTGTGTGTGTGTGAGTGAGAGAGTTTCTTTCCTCACTCCCACACCAGACAAAATTATATTTATGGATGGCTCCTGTCAAGGTTCCTTCCCCACTCTGAACGCTAGGGTACAGATGTGGGGACCTGCATGAAAAACCTGCTAAGCTTATCTTTACCAGCTTAGGTCAAAACTTCCCCAAGGTACAAAATATTCCACCCTTTGTCCTTGGATTGGCCGCTACCACCACCAAACAAATACTGGTTACTGGGGAAGAGCTGTTTGGAAACATCTTTCCCCCCAAAAATACTTCCCAAAACCTTGCATCCCACTTCCTGGACAAGGTTTGGTAAAAAGCCTCACCAATTTGCCTAGGTGACTACAGACCCAGACCCTTGGATCTTAAGAACAATGAACAATTCTCCCAACACTTGCACCCCCCCTTTCCTGGGAAATGTTGGATAAAAAGCCTCACCAATTTGCATAGGTGACCACAGACCCAAACCCTTGGATCTGAGAACAATGAAAAAGCATTCAGTTTTCTTACAAGAAGACTTTTAATAGAAATAGAAATAAATAGAAGTAAAGAAATCACCTCTGTAAAATCAGGGTGGTAGATACCTTACAGGGTAATTAGATTCAAAACATAGAAAATCCCTCTAGGCCAAAAACTTAAGTTACAAAAAAGATACACAGACAGAAATAGTTATTCTATTCAGCACAATTCTTTTCTCAGCCATTTAAAGAAATCCTAATCTAACACGTACCTAGCTAGATTACTTACTAAAAGTTCTAAGACTCCATTCCTGGTCTATCCCCGGCAGAAACAGCATATAGACAGACTGAGACCCTTTGTTTCTCTCCCTCCTCCCAGCTTTTGAAAGTATCTTGTCTCCTCATTGGTCATTTTGGTCAGGTGCCAGCGAGGTTACCTTTAGCTTCTTAACCCTTTACAGGTGAGAGGAGTTTTTCCTCTGGCCAGGAGGGATTTCAAAGGGGTTTACCCTTCCCTTTATATTTATGACAGCTCCGTATTAGACTGGAGAGCCCACATGGATGACTGCACAGTGCAAGGCACTTGGACACCTCGGGAGACCAGAATGCATATAAATATCTGGTGTGTTAAGAGCAGTTTGGGAAGCCTGCAAGACATTCTTACTGCTCATATGACCTTGATATGTTCTGGTAATGTCAGAAATCATAATGACTGTGTTCTATGTCAACTAGCAGGGAGGGGTGCAATCCATCCCACTGTGCATAGACATGGTGAACTTATGGGGCACCACTTTACCCTGTCAGCAGTGCACCTTCTGGGTGCTCACAATTCACTGGTGGAAAGCCTCAGTAGGGATTATGCCACCAGCCACGAGTGGGAACTACACGATTCTGTAATGAGCAGCACTGTTGCTCAGTAGGGAGCACCTACTTTGGGACCTTTTCGCATCCCAGATGAAGAGGAATTGCAGCACGTTCTGTTCCAGAGGAGCTCAGGGTCGTGGCTGCAAGAGTGATGCTCTCCTACTTTCTTGGATGGGTCATCTGAGGTACACCTTGCCTCCCAATCCACTCATTCTTCCGCAGAACTTCAAGTTCCACAAGGACACAGTGCTAATCATCCTCATTGACTTCCATGTGGCCTGGACAGTTCTGGTTCCTGGCCTTATGCAGATGTCAACCTGTCCACCCATCAGCATCCAGTCTGTCCTGGATCTCTTGACCCACGACAACAGCAAGGTCAAACATCCCAGCCTGATCTCTTGTCATCTCATGGCTTAGTATTTGGATGGGTATCACACCTAGAACAATCACGTATGAAAGCAGTACAAGCCATTCTAAGAAATACCAGAAAGGATTCCACCAGAAAATGTTACATAGTTAAGTGGAAACATTTCTGTATGTGAGCCCAGCAATACCATATGTCCCCTGAGACAGAAGACATCCTGCTATTCTGGATTTATCTTCTTGCTCTGAAGACTGTGTATCTTTCCTTTAGCTGACTAAGTGTTAACCTAGAGGCAATCAGCACATGTCCACCTACTAATTGATGACTACTTCATCTTCACTCGGTGACAGTCATGTTTCTGAAGGGTTTGATTAGAACCTTTCCACCAATAATGCAACCAGTTCCACAATGGGATCTCATTTAGTACTCTTGGTATCGTCTAGGTTGCTGTTTAAACCATTAGCTATGTGTTCAATGTTCCAGTTGTTGATAAGGTTGCCTTCCTTGTTGCCATCACTTTGGCCAGAAAGGTAAGGGATCTTAGAGCTCTTATTACTCCTGGGGGAATTCTGCACCAACAAATTAAAAATTCGGCGCACAATATTTTAAAATTCTGCATATTTTAGTTGTCGAAATAACACAGTACAATCACTGTGGTTTCAATTATTTCTGTAATTTATTTAAACTGCAATAGAATGGATGAAGAATGGGAGTGGGGAGCACTGGAGGAAATCCGCAAATGCCCTTGCCTAAAGTAAAGTAGCTAGGTTTGACCCTTTCTTTCTAGTTATTAGTCAACAAATATAGGCAGCCGTATGCTCAGTGTTGCATCATAGGCAACTGAAGAGCAAGTGAGGGCTGGGGAATCAAACTCAAAATTTATATTGGCTACTGAACGTCTCCAGAAAGGTCAGTAGCGTGTAACAGTTCATGGAGCATACTTCGACAGGAAATTTTTCAGTCCAAAAAATTTAGACCAGTTCTAATCACTAAAGCACCATAAGCATTTATAAAGCCATACTGTCTTTTACAACACTCTGGCAATGTGTAAAGGAGTCTTAAAACTTTTACACCTTTTTATACTCCTGGGGGAATTCACAAAGACAATTGGAACAATTGACTAAGCAAGCAAGCTGCTACATTCTGCTCTGACTGAGGGGGCAGAGCCTGCTCCATGCCTACCTCCTCAGAAACACCCTGAAGCCCCTCCACGCTAAGTGTACTGCAAAAGTGAGTGAGAGGAACAGTGTCTCTGTCTCCCTCGCACACACATGCATGACTGCCCACCCCCCTCCAGGTGGTGGTTTATGTTTCTACTGGCTGCTCTGGGCGCCCAAACCAACCTGCTTGCGCTGCTGGGGAGGGGCACGTCATCACTCTTGCACCTTCCCTTTGCTTCCCCGTCAGAAGTAAATTTTGTGCAGGGAAACAAAAGAAACCTGTGGGGGACATAAATTCTGCGCATGTGCAGTGACGCAGAATTCCCCCAGGAGTAAAGCCGTTTTACCAATTATGGCTTATAACCAATTTACCATATATAGTACAGGACAAAGTCTCACTAATTTCAGGCTGCACCTGAAATTCACCCCTGAAGTAGTTTTGGATTTCCACATAAACACATACCTGTTTTCTTTTCCCTAAGCCTCTTGCCACCAGTGAAGATCCCTTGATGTGAAGCATAATTAGCTTTTTACTGGCAAAGAATGAAATCTATCACAAAGCTGCCTCCATTGTTTATTGCCATTGTGGAATGAATGAGAGGACAAGCTATAGCCTCTCAGACTCTCTAAGTGGATTTTGGGCTGTATTCTACTTTTATTTGGTGAATCTTCCTCTCCCACACTGTGTGTGGGCTCATTCTGCTAGAGCACAAGCAGCTTCACTAGCATTGCGTCAGGAGGTGCTCCTGCTTGGAATTTGCAAAGCAGCAATATGGAGTTCTGTTTGTACCTTCAAAAAACATTATGCCTTAGTTCAAGCCTCCACAGCTTATGCATTCTTTGGTGTGGAGGTCCTACAAACATCTTTACTGCCTGCAGCCTCGCACCTGACTCTTCTGAGTACTGGTTTTCAGTCACCCACAGTGGAATACACTTAGGGATCAGCACTTGAGGAAGAAAGGTAAGTTATTTACCTTTATAGTAACGAGTTCGTCAAGATGTGATCCCTATCTATATTCCACTATTCACCCTCTTTCACCTCTGCTTCAGATCCTATCCATTAAGTGAGGTTAGAGAAGGAACAGGAGAGATAATTGCACAGTACCGCCCCTTATGCCCTCGGCATGGAGCATGAGGAGAGCAAGGATGCAGGCACTGACCAGTTGGATGCTGTTAAGAAGAATCTTCTGGTCTCAGGCTCATGTAGTGCATGCGTATTCACAGGCAGAGTGCCCATAGGGACCATGCATCTCGAGTAACTCCAATTACTATAAGATTAGTAACTTCCCTTTTTTATGATACATTATTTTGCTTTTTCACTCATTGCTCTGCAAAATTCAGTAGTGAGCGATGGGACTGTTAATCATAAGTGCAATTTCTGTGAGTTTGAATGGCAGTGTCCCCCTTGCAAAAGTGGTTTACCTTTGGGGAAAACATTAATTTCCTTTGGTTTGGGGGGAGGGAGGGGAAGGGGGAGGTGTCTTTGAGCTGCTAGTATCAGACAGGTTGCTGTACTTTAGGGTGACCTGAAAATATGTACTGTTTGTCCCTTTGGGTTTTCTTCAGAAGAAGTATACGCCTGGGAAGTTAGCTTTGTTGATCAAGTGAAAATTCTCATCCTTTAAGTGTCTTGAGCCTGGAAACAGGATTTTCCATCAGTCTAATGGCCGCAGTGATTGAGTTTACAAAGGAGAATGCAGCTGAAATTTTCCTAGAAGCCCAATATCACTGGTCATTGGGTAACTGTTATATTGTTTTAATGAGGCACAGCTGCCATTTGTTTGACTCCCCTTTTTCTGGTGTATTTCCATGAACCTTATGGGCATCAGAAGATACAAGCAGGTGGTGTGCTCTGCAATCTGAGTTGCTCATTCGATTAACTAGGCAATTAGTTTAGGAGGACTTTGGTGCCAATCTCCTCTCCCAGAATCCTCCACCTCCACTTCCACCTGCCTGTATCTTTGCGAACTTGCACAGAGATCAGATCTGGTTTCCTTCAGTCAAGATGGAAGTGGAAGTATGGCAGTTCACACCAGCTGAGAATCTGGCCCTTAGGGTTGGAGGGAAAATCACTGTGGGATATGGGAGTTACTGATTTTTCTCAATAATAAAATTGATTAAAAAATCTTACAGATGTATGCCTCTGCTTCTGCCTCTGAAGTGGAAACTGTGCGAACAGCTCTCCTAGCTCAGTTTGAGGAGGCGAAATTGAAGCAGCAGCTTCAGTTCCAGGATGAGATTGAACTGCTCAAATGTCAGTCAGAGGTATTACTGGAACAGCAGATTACACAACTAAAGGTGAGCTCTAACTAAAATGTTTTTTAACAAATTCTAAAATTTATGTTCCAAAATTAGTGGAATTTTCTGAGGTTTAACAGTTATTACAAAACCTTTTCCCCAGATTGTCTTTTTAACATCCTAGAGACATAGGAGTTGAAGATAGAAAAATGGTCTATGGGCCAGATTGCTTGCTAGTCACATGAGTCTAACTCTTCAGATTGTTTCTGTCAATTAAATCACATTAAAAGGGACTAAAAATACATTATGTTCCTAACTTCACTTTTTCATGTAAGCAGTTAATCTATTTGCCACAGACATGCTATGCAATCATGAATGGGAATAGATGTGGTTCATGAAGGTGTCTCTCTTTTAAGATGTCTTCTGCTTTTACTTTTCTCCTTTTTGCTTTTGGGTAAAAGTGTTTACATTTTTTTTTAATACGTTGTACATAAACTTTGTAAATGTGTATTCTGAATTGGAGAACAACCCATACAATGCTGAAAAAAATACTACAGTAACTCCTCACTTAGTCGCCCCGGTTAATATTGTTTCGTTGTTACATAGCTGATCAATTCGAGAACATGCTTGTTTAAAGTTGTGCAATGCTCCCTTATAACGTTGTTTGGCAGCCACCTGCTTTGTCCACGGCTTGCAGAAAGAGCAGCCTGTTGGAGCTAGCTGGTGGGGGCTTGGAACCAGGGTGGGCCAGCAGCCCCCCTATAAGCTCTCCTAAGTTCCCTGTCCAGCAGTCAACCAGCAGGCTATCAATTGCTGGGCAGTTCAGCTGTCCCTCCTCCCACTGCCCTGTGATGCTCCTGCCCTCTGCCTTGGCGCTGCTCCCGGGAGCCTCCTGGTTGCTATGTGGGGAAGAGGGGGGCTAATGTCAGGGTGTCCCCCTCCTGCCCCCCGCTTCTTTACCCCATCTCCACAGAGCCGGGGGGGACGGGACGGGACGGGACGGGACACAACAGGGCTCGGAATGGAGGGAGCTTGCTGGCAGCAGCTGCTATCTCAACTTGCTGATCTACTTAAAAAGGCATGCATCCAGCGAAGTGGGTATTCACCCACAAAAGCTTATGCTCCAGGACGTCTGTTAGTCTATAAGGTGCCACAGGACTCTTTGCCGCTTAAAAAGGCAGTGTACTTAGTGGGGTCAGCATACTTAAAGGGGCAATGCGTGTGTCTCTCTCTCTCTCACACACACACATGGTGTGTGTCTCTGTCTCTCTCTGCCATGCTGTCTCCCCTCCCTCCATTCGTGCTGCCTTGTAGAGTGAGAGGCGACATTAACAGCAATGTGTTAACCCTTGAGGGCTCAGCTGAGTGCTAGTTAATCATTTATCAGTAAGGCATTCCCTGGGAAATATCCCACCCTCTGACTTCACCACCTCAACTAGGTTTCACAATCATCATTGCTGTGTACAGTATTAAATTGTTTGTTTAAAACTTATACTGGGTGGGTATGTATATGTATACAATATATTCTTTTGTTTGGCGAAAAAAATTTCCCTGGAACCTAACCCCCCCATTTACATTAATTCTTATGGGGAAATTGGATTCGTTTAACATTGTTTTAACTACAACGTTAAGTGAGGAGTTAATGTATATTAAAATAATGTAAACCTGGCACTTTGTCCTTAACGCTTCCATTTGCAGTTAGGTATTAGAAGAAATGGCCTTTGTAAAATATCTATTCAGAGATAAATGCATAATGTGTCATAAACACGATCATGCATTTAAGGACTATATTTTACCTTCAGTTCTGATTTGCGATATACTTGTGTATGTTAATATGAAAATTTCAGTTTTTTAAAGAGATTTGTACACATTATGTCTTGTTTAGCATTTGGAAGGATGGAAGAAAACTGATTTATCAGCAGAAAGAGTCTGTGAAATAGATCTGAAAGTACATTCTACTTCTCTGACTACTTCTCCATCTATTTCATGACGACTAGCTAGATAGTCTGAGCATCGCTGCTTTATGAGGCTTGCAAGCTGCAAGTGGCTTTTTAATGTGTCTCTTTGCAGCGCATGACATTAAAACACTGTGTGATTTAAGTATTAACCAGTAAGGATACATTTACTGTGTTGTTAACCTACTGTAGCTGATAAAATAATACTTGGTCAGTTATTTTGCTGAGAGAATAATTTATATATATAAAAACAAAATATTTCCCCTGTGGTACTGTTACAGTATTATAGTAAATGAAAGAATGAATTCATGCTACTGTGGCTTCTTTAGGTAATGTTGGCTCCTGAACCACTGAGATCTGAGGATCACTTGACAAAGGCATACTTTGTAATACTGGCAGTGTGAGATCTTCATTTTAGAAGATGTAAACCAGTTTTCAACTTGCTTAAATACAGATTCTTCTTTGTGTAGTTTCTGTATGGATATTCCACTTCAGGTGTGCATGCACCCCAGGCTGCTTTGATTAGTCTTTTGATAGCTGTGTGTGTTCAGTCTGCACATATGTCTAAGCTATCTTTGTGCTCCATACAAGTGGTATCTAGGGCAGTGTCGAATATGAGGGAGGTTCCCACGCCTGAGCCATTCTTTTTAGGTGACAAATCTGAGGAACCATCCCAGATTAAGGTGTCATGAGAGGAGGTTTCTGAACAAATTAATAAACTAAACAGTAATAAGTCACCAGGATCAGATGGTATTCACCCGAAAGTTTTGAAGGAACTCATATATGAAATTGAAGAACTATTAACTGTGGTATGTAACCTATTGCTTGAATCAGCTTCTGTACCAGATGACTGGAGGGTAGCTAATGTGATGCCAATTTTTAAAAAAGGCTCCAGAGGTGATCCTGGCTATTACAGGCCAGTAAACCTATCTTCAGTATGAGGCAGATTGATTGAAACTATAGTAAAGAATAGAATTAGCAGACAGATGGATGAACATCATATTTTCAGAAAGAGTCAACATGGTTTTTGTAAAGGGAAATCATGCCTCACCAATCTACTAGAGTTCTTTGAGGGGATCAGCAAATGTGTGGACAAGGTGATCCAGTGAATATAGAGTACTTGGACTTTTAGAAAGCCTTTGACAACAGTCCTTACCAAAGGCTCTTAAACTAATCAGTCATGGAATAAAAGGGCATGTCTTCTCATAGATCAGTAACTGGTTAATAGATAGGAAACAAAGGATAAGAATAAATGGTCATTTTTCAGAATAGAGAGAGGTAAATAGTTGTCCCCCGGGGGTCTGTACTGAGACAAAAGTGGTTCAACATATTCATAAATGATCTGGAAAAAGAGGTAAACAGTGAGGTGGCAAAGTTTGCAGATGATACAAAATTACTCAAGATAGTTAAGTCCAAAGCAGATTGTGAAGAGTGACAAAAGGGATCTCACAAAGCAGGGTGCTGGGCAGCAAAGTGACAGATGAAATAATGCTTACTGGAAAATATAATCCCAGCAGAATAATGGGGGTCTAAATTAGCTGTTACCACTCAAGAAAGAGATTTTGGAATCATTGTGGATAGTTCTCTGAAAACATCTGCTCAAAGTGCAGCGGCAGTCAAACAAGCTAACAATGTTAGGAACCATTAGACTAGGGATAGATAATAAGAGTAAACATTATAATGTTGCTATATACATTCGTGATACACACACACCTTGAATACTGCATGAAGTCCTGGTCACCCCATTTTAAGAAAGATAATTAGAAATGGAAAAGGTACAGAAAAGGGCAACAAAAATTATTAGGAGTATGTAACAGCTTCCATATGAACAGAGATTAAAAAGACTGGGACTATTCAGCTTGGAAAAAAGATGATGGGGCTGGAGCAGGGATATGAGAGAGGTCCATAAAACCATGACTGGTGTGGAGAAAGTGAATAAGGAAGGTTTCAGAGTAGCAGCCATGTTAGTCTGTATCTGCAAAAAGAAAAGGAGGACTTGTGGCACCTTAGACTAACAAATTTATTTGAGCATAAGCTTTCATGAGCTACAGCTCACTTCATCGGATGCAGTCAGTGGGAAAATACAGTGGGGAGATTTATATATACAGAGAACATGAAACAATGGGTGTTACCATACACACTGTATCGAGAGTGATCAGGTAAGGTGAGCTATTAGCAGCAGGAGAGCGGGGGGGGGAGGGGGAGGAGAACCTTTTGTAGTGATGATCAAGGTGGGTCATTTCCAGCAGTTGACAAAAACGTCTGAGGAACAGCTGGGGGTGGGGAATAAACATGGGGAAATAATTTTACTTTGTGTAATGACCCATCCACTCCCAGTCTTTATTCAAGCCTAAGTTAATTGTATCCAGTTTGCAAATTAATTCCAATTCAGCAGTCTCTCGTTGGAGTCTGTTTTTGAAGTTTTTTTGTTGAAGAATTGCAACTTTTAGGTCTGTAATCGAGTGACCAAAGAGACTGAGGTGTTCTCCGACTGGTTTTGGAATGTTATAATTCTTGATGTCTGATTTGTGTCCATTTATTCTTTTACGTAGAGACTGTCCGGTTTGGCCAATGCACATGGCAGAGGGGCATTGCTGGCACAGGATGGCATAGATCACATTGGTAGATGTGCAGGTGAAGGAGCCTCTGATAGTGTGGCTGATGTGATTAGGCCCTATGATGGTGTCCCCTGAATAGATATGTGGACACAGTTGGCAACGGGTTTTGTTGCAAGGATAGGTTCCTGGGTTAGTGGTTCTGTTGTGTGGTTGCTGGTGAGTATTTGCTTCAGGTTGTGGGGGCCCATCACCCTCACAGATCTTGGGAGACAGGCCAGTCCTTGCTTACAGACAGCCCCCCAACCTGAAGCAAATACTTCTTCGGACCTGGGCCAGGTACTCTCCACACCAGCCCTGTACAACAGACCTCTGAAACCAGAGTGTCCCATCAATTTTGTCTGTAGCCTTCACACTGAATAGGCACACCTGGGGAAAAAAACTGTGGGGGACAATTCTAAGGCTTCTAAAAGAGGAGACGTAGATCTCCTCAAAAATAAATCAGTGCCAAGAAGCCCAGATCACCTCAGAGACCTGCCACTTTGGAGAC